TGTTTACAAACAAACCCTTGATAAACTCGCGCGTTATGGAGACGATCTTCTGCTCCTGAAAGAACAGCGTTACATTGCGGAACAAGAAAATAGACAGTTTCACGAAGACAACTTTTCAAGGACGCAACACTGCTCCCCTTCTTCGAGATTGTCGCCCCGACAATCTTTCAAAATTTTTAACATCTTAATCCTTTTTCGATTTCAGGGTCCTGGATGAATCTTCTTGTTCTATCCTAAGCTGCTGTTATAGATTACTAGGCGATTCATTTCTTTAGACCCAATCGATTTGAATATTCTTTGCTTCCGTTACTCTTCATGATATGTCCTAATTTTCGGGGGGGTAACTACCGTGGACCCTTCGCCCCAAAAGGACTCTCCAAGTCCCTGCGTCGGCATTTGCCCTTCATTTCACGGAAAACCACGGATCAAAAACCGTGAGCGAGGCAGTCTTTATTTTCAAATTTATCTTGAAAATTTTATTTCCATTTCCAGTTTCCACTTTGTCGCAAAAGTCTCCACTTCTCATAATTAATGTTTGCAAAAATGTTGCAAAATTTATATATTGGGTTGTTCAAAAAGTCATTGCGTTTTTTTCCAATAGATAGCGCTGTTCACGTTTATTTGTATCTGAGCGTGACATGAATGTCACATGTTTATGCGCATTTTGTTGTTGACACTTAACCTAATAACCAAAAAAAAGTTGACGCAATTCGGTCGAGTTTTGTGTTTGTAATTGTGGTTTAAACATGGAGAATTTTGAAGAGCATATTCGCCATATTTTGCTTTATTACTTTAAAAAAGGGAAGAAAGCAACTGAAGCATGGGAAGAGTTGCGTCAAGTTTACGGCAGAAATGTCATCGAAAAATGTCAGTGCCAGAACTGGTTCGCCCAATTCCGTGGTGGTGATTTTTCAGTTAAAGACGCTCATCGCTCCGGTAGGCCTTCTGAGATTGACGACAATAAAATCAAGGCATTGGTGCAAGCAAATAGGCATTCAACGGTTCGGGAGCTTGCTACCGCTCTAAAAGTGTCCATTGGAAGTGTTCATGGTCATTTGAAATCGCTTGGTTTCATGAAGAAGCTCGATGTTTGGGTATCGCATGAGTTGAAAGAAATTCATCTGACGAAGCGTATGAACGTCTGCGATCAACTCACCAAACGCGAAAAAAACGATCCGTTCTTGAAGCGTATGATCACGGACGACGAAAAATGGATTGTCTACAACAATGTGAACCGAAAAAGGAGTTGGAGTAGGCGAGATGAAGCACCGGAAAGGCAAGCAAAGGCGGACATCCACCAAAAGAAGGTGATGCTGTCAATCTGGTGGGATTGGAAGGGACCAGTCTTCTATGAGCTGCTTCCAAAGAATAAAACGATTAATTCCGATGTCTCCTGTGAGCAGCTACAGAAATTAAGTGATGCCATCGCACAGAAACGTCCCGAGCTAATCAATCGTAAGGGTGTGGTGTTTCACCACGACAATGCGAGACCACACACAAGTTTGGTCACTCGGCAAAAATTGTTTCAGCTTGGTTGGGATGTGTTGCCACATCCACCATATCAGACCTTGCGCCATCAGACTTCCATTTATTTCGCTCTTTGCAAAACTCTTTGAATGGTAAAACGTTTGCTTCTGAAGACCTCATCAAACAGCACCTTGACAAGTTTCTCGCAGAGAAAGATAGGAAGGTTTATGAACGCGGTATTATGAAGTTGCCCGAGAGATGGCAAAAGGTCATCGAACAAAACGGCCGATATAGTATTGATTAATGTTCATTACGTATATTAAATAAACACACCTAAAAATCAAATGAAAAAAACGCAATGACTTTTTGAACAACCCAATATAATACATACACTTTTTTATCTTTCAGAGTGCCTTCAACCCATTTTTTTCAGCCGGGTTTCGTAGCACATAACACACACACACGCACAACTAACATACACATAACTAACCTAAAAGATTCTGTATATGACAGATAGCACTGAGAACTGTATAGCGCCTCTATCCCAAAAATCTCGGAACTAATCTATAGCTGTTTTTTACCTTATTCATTCTATATTGCACACATGCTTTACATAAATCTGGAAAAGGGTGGCGTTTTGAAAATAAGTCTCTAAGCTCTATTTTTTTGGTTTTCCATTATTGTTTCATACGCTCTTCTTCGGCACATGGTCTTGTTTTGCAGATTGAAGCAGTATAATTTTGATATAAAAGATATAATTCTTTGAGGTGACATTGTCGGTAAATTTAAAAAATTTTTTATTTTTGGTTTAAATTTGACCAACTGCCGAAAGATTAGCATATGTACTTTATTTACACCAAAGGATTTGTAATTCTATTAAAGCAATAAAAAACGCCACCCTTTTTAGAAAATTGAAGTTTCGGTCGGTAACAATATGACTTCAGCATCTTCTTAACCGCAAGCAAACTGTTTTTGTTGGTTATTTTCTTTAATTATTTTGTTGAAATAAAGTGCATTATTCTGCGGACATCAACGTTTTACAAGCATTTGTCGCGTCTATTCGATTTTGTCCGTTTTCGCCTCGTCCTCGTTTCCTCAACTCTCGCTCACTTCTTTCTTTCTTTATTTCTCTCTCGCTCGTTGCCGCTTCGCGTGAAAGCCAGCGTTCCTTCTCTCTCTCCCGCACCTCTCGTCGCTCGCTCTGCACGTTTCCTCTCCGCCAAATCGACCCTTCGCTCTTTCTGAGCGCAACCGGCAATTCTCCGTTCCAATCAAAATTTTCATATCGATCACGAACATATATTGTTAATAAATTTTCTATTATAATAAAAAATTATGTGTATTGCAATATATAAACAAAACAAGTAACATTTCTACAATTTCAGTAGAAAAACATTTTTCCTATTAAAACATATTAACATGAGTTAATTGCGACGAAAATAAGCTTTAAGCATATTTAATATACAGGGTGTATAAAAAGTACCGGAACCCCAGAATACCTCAAAAAATATAAATTTTATAAAAAAATGTTTTAGATAAAAATTGTAGGATTTAAAAAGATCTATTTATTGATCTTATCAGTTTGACTTTAGGCGAAGACGCTTCGAAAATTTGAAAATCATCTTTATTTTTTTATATAAATCGATTCCTCGGAATGTTGGGCGTAAGAAGTTATAAAGGTAGGATGGCCAAAAATTGAATAGTTTGCGAGATATTTTATATTTTAATTAGACATAATTTTACACAAACTATGAAATATCTCGTTAAATATTTATTTTTCAATTATCATACCTCAACACTTTTATTCACAAAATAATGAGAGAAATTGATCATCATAATTTTTAATGACGTGCTTGGTGTACAAAATCAAAGTGCATACAGCATTTTTTTTATTCAAAAAATTATGGGCGTCCTCATTACTGTATAGATTTTTAAGAATAAAAAATTTAATAGAATTAAACTTACAAAAAAAACCTATAAAAAAACATAATAATACAAAAACAAACAAAAAAATCTTATATTTAATAAAATTAAAATAAAATATATGTATGTATAAAAAGCAAAAGATCATAACATTTAGAATATATTCATGTAAGAAAAAAACATTTTAAAAAACAAACATGGTAATAGGCATTGAAGCGGATACGGATGAGGTGCGCGTATAGTGATATAGAGGTATTTCTAGCTTATATCTGAAAAATGCGTCTTTGGAATACAACTTTATCGTACATGATTGAATTTGTCGTTAAATATGCTACAAATTTTGCGATAAGACAAATTTTAAAATTTTCAAAAATTGAGAGGTGGGGGAAAAATTTCGAAAAAATGACATTTAAAAAAAATCTGAGTACACTGTTATAAAGTACATTAAAAATCATAAAACTTTTATTTGAAACTTTTTTTTGTATCTTTTACCGACGGTATTAGCTCGCGGAAATATAAAAACCGATTTTCTTCAAGAGGGTGTTTCACCCCCTTAATGGCCGTATGGGAACGTATAAAAAAATGTGTCTGTTATTTTGACCTAGACTACAACATATTCAAAGCTTATCAAAATTGAAGTGTAACACTTGGGTAAGTTTACTTGTTAGAGCAATAATATGCGATACTCCAGCGAGAGCATTTGTCACTTCAAGGAAAAGGCACAATGCTTACTTTGGTTGTAATAAGTATACTGTCGAAGGTGACTACCGTAACCATAAGATGCTATTTTTAGAATTGGATGCACCACTGCGAACTGACGAAGATCTTGTAAATCGTGCCAATGAAGATCACATTAGAAATTCACCATTTCAAGCAGCAGGAGTTGCAATGGTCACGCAATTTCTCCTCGATTATATGCACCTTTCCTGTTTAGCGTTACAAAAAAATTTATTTTGTTGTGGAAGCGGGGTCATCATCGTGCAAGATTAAGTGCTGAAATATACGAATAATCGCAAGATTTAATAGAGCATTAACAGAATGGATTCCGGCAGAATTTGTGAGAAAACCAAAAAATATCGAGAAGGTGGACCGATGGAAAGTGACAGAATTTCGCTTGTTTTTGATATACTTGGGTATAGTTTTAGTAGGAAAATATATGCCAGAATCATATGCACTTAATTTTTATGCGCTCAACTGTGCTATGCGTATTTTGAGTCATAGCGACGACTGCGTGCGCAATAACAAATTTACAGAGGAATTACTCATTTACTTTGTCGATGAATGTAAAAATTTGTATGAAGAAAAATGCGTAACATTCAACATTCATAGTATGATACATCTTCCTTGTGATGTGGCAAAGTTTGAGCCTGTAGATTCTTTCAGCGCATTTTCCTTTGAAAATTATATAAGTAAAGAAACGTATAAGGAAAGGAGAAAAACCATTATCTCAACTACATTAAAGAATTGTGGAGGAAAAAAATTGCAGTTGGGCTGTAATACGAACTTCAACAGTGAAAGGACCCAGTTTATTGCGAAAAAACAAAAAGTAATTATTAATGGAATGTTCGGCCTCGTACGACAAATTGATGTTTCTTAATTTCGTTATATCGATATTAAAAAAAGCCGATTCATATTGTTGTCTAAGAAGTAACAACATTATGTTGGTTAAATTTATTGGTAAAAGAAATAATAAACCAATTTTCATTGGAAAAGTATTGCGCAATTCAAAAAATTATCCTAATTACCCCTGTGTGTCCAGCAATGTAGGAATTTTGATAGGCAAAGAATGGTCTAATCTACAAATGGTTTAATCTAAAAGCGTTGTAGCAAAAGTAATGGCTCTTCCTTTCAATGGTTCCATGTGTTTTCTTTCGCTACTTTATTCATCTGTATAATATATATCTTGTGAGTTTATTACATTTAAAAATATTGATAATTGCGTTTCATAAATTCATAAATATAATACAATGCATGTAGTTGTTTATTAATTATATGTTTTCTTTATATTAATACAACATTTTCTCTTACAGATATACCATGTAGTAATTGTGGCAAACTGGTCATCTGTCATACCAAGCTGCTGGCTTGACGAAGAAAATGGAGAATGCCGATGGCCACCTAAAAAGACGCAGTCAGCCACTGCTATCCTAAAACGCACTAAACCTGCAGAAAATTGGAAGACGTTGCGATATAAAAAATTGCTTGGACCATTTCGCTTGTTTTAAATTTCGCTAAAAAATGTGCACATGTACAGAGTGTTGCATATACATATTGGGCAGTACGACGGGTTGCGCGGCATACTTTGCAGGGATAGGCGCAGTTCAATGGTTAATGACAGCATATATACGTACCATCATAACTTATTGATCGAATTGATTGCGCGCATTTTTACTAATTTTGAGTTTACAGCGTTTCAATTATGACGGACTTGAATAATCGTTGCGATTATTACTAGAGAAGCTAAAACACATTAAAGATAAAAAATTAAATTTTAGAAAGTTAACACGTTAAAAGAAACAAATATGAAACAAAATTTCTTTCTTTACCGCTCTATCAAAATTTACAACGCTAACACGCGCGAAAAGTAAAGCGGTAAAGAAAGAAATTTTGTTGTATCATATTTGTATCTTTTAACGTGTTAACTTTCTAAAATTTAATTTTTTATCTTTAATGTGTTTTAGCTTTTTTAGTAATAATCGCAACGATTATTCAAGTCCGTTATAATTGAAACGCTGTAAACTCAAAATTAATAAAAATGCGCGATCAATTCGATCAATAAGTTATGCTACGTATATATGCTGTCATTACCCACTGAACCGCGCCTATCCCTGCAAAGTATGCCGCGCAACCCGTCGTACTGCCCAATATGTATATGCAACACCCTGTATGTGTAACACCATTTGACTGATTTTGATATTTGTAAAATTATAATTATTTAAACTTTGTTTACAGAGTCTTATGCGACTGCTAAGACAGTCGAGGCAACGTCGATTGATATTTCGTCATCAGATGATGCAAGATTTACGAAGATCTCCAAATATCTTCAGTCATCGCAACCTGAGAAAAGATTGATAAAACGCACTAAATTCCACGACGAATCCGTAGGCGTAAGCGATAAAAGTGATGAACCAAAAGAAAGTACGTATACATTATATACATATAATTTATATGAAACTGTAAAATTATAAATTTTTCTACTGGGTAATTTCTGATTCTGATTATTTCA